AAAACTCACTGGAGATGCAGGACTGATAAAAACCACTCATTAAATATCTCATTTACTTTGAAAGCCCTATCAATGCCATTTTACATTGGTTCTTGATGGTACAATAGTGAGCCAGCTAGTTTACCAAAAACTATATCCCTATAAGAGACATTCTAACAGTATACTTCTAATAACTGGGACTTATGCTCAGAATGAGTTTCAGAAAATGAGTAAAAAGTGACCCTATTCAGCCTGTTTAACATTCACTCAAGCAACTGGCAATTGGGAAAGCCTACATTTCCTGAGTTGGGGGAGAGGAAGTCCATTTTATATATGTGAGTTCTATAGATGCTCCACCTCAAATACATGAATGGTGGGGATTTAATACTTAGGTGAGACATCAATGGGGGCAGAATTGGGGTGTATAAGCTTACTCAGCTATTCTACATATTCTCAGCCACCCTACTATGGTTACAACAAACCATGTACAGTGGTGCCTCGCTTTACATTAATTCGTTCCAGCGAAATCGCTGTAGAGCGAAAACGTCGTAAAGCAGAATAAAAAAGCCCATTGAAATGCACTGAAACCCATTCAAAGCGTTCCAATGGGCTGAAAACTCAACGTCCAGTGAAGACCCTCCATAGGGGCGGCCATTTTCAGTGCCTGTGCAGCAAGGAATCCATCCCTAAGCACAGCAGAGGGCCATTTTCTTCTGCCAGCGACCATTTTGAAACCTGACGATCAGCTGTTTTTGATCGTCGTAAAGCGAAAATCAGTCCCGAAGCAGGGAACCGATCATCGCAAAGTGGAAAAACCCCATTCAAACCATCATCAAGCGGATTCGTAGTTAAACGGGGTAATCATAAAGCGGGGCACGACTGTATGATAACATCAGAATGCATGTTCATAAAAAAGAAATAACATAGTCCTTACCAGTTTTCCCAGTATTTTTCATCCATGTCTTGTTCGAAGATTCATTATCAAAGCCAACCAAGTGTATTTCCTGATACTCTTCTCCAACGCGTGCCTGATGGTCTATAATATCTATTGGAGACTGATGAGTTCTCCCACAGTCTGTGTTCAAAGTAACCCAGTGCTCAGGACCATAAACACCTGTTACAAACAAGAAAAAGGCAATATTATGACACTAAGAATTTGTCAATTAATTTATTTTGCATTTGCTTATCAAGGCAAGAATATTTCTACAAATATTTTTCAATGTATAACTTTGGTAGGTATAATATAATTACGGTACTGCACAGGACGAATCAATACACCTAATAAGCACCAAAACTAATGTATGCATTCAAACAACGAGCTAACCATTCATTCTAATCTTTTTAAGAAAATGTTAAAAAAAAGATTTATGGATTTATTTTTAGATCAAATTTTAGGGCAGAGGACAAGGAGTATTCAAGATGGCAAAAGAAACCTATTTATTGACTGCTAACTACTCCCAGAGTCAATTAGTATCTTTCCTGTCCATGAAATCTCAAGTACAGTTTTAACTGAAGCTGATCTTCCAACACATATTTCAAATTAATTTTCCTAAGTGGCTCATGTTCCAGACACTGCTGTTTTGCAACCCCAACCCTCAAGTGGAGGATTTGGAATGTTCTTTCTAGGTTGCCGGTCTTGCTTAGCTAATCCCTACATCAAAATATCAAATCTCAGTTCTACACCATACGGTAGGACCCCTGTATTCATGACCCGGTATCCACAGTTTCACCTTCTCATAGTTTATTTTACAAGGGTAGTCCCTTGTGGCCTTTGTCCTGCCTCCTTATAGATTCCTATATCCATGGCTTCAGGAATCCATGGTAGGTCATGGAGCTGATGTCCTGGGGATATGAGGGTTGTTTAACGGATACATGTTAGCTGAATTTTCATCTCACTGCTGCATGGGTTCTAAAGCATGCTTCTAACCAGGAGACAAGCAAATATCCTCACACTGGCCATCCATTCTGCAAATCTTAATCATACCAAAAGATGTCTTCTGATATAACATCCATTTTGGGTGCAGCTCTTCTGTGAGACAGAGTGAGGTGGCTGCATCAGCTAGTAGTTTCTGAAGGATGAGGTGAGAAGTGCCAGCAAAGATTTACAGGAAGGACCAGCAGGTCCCAGACTGCTGGTGGTCCATGGTCATAGCATGTTGGGTGTCCTACTCAACATTTAGAATCATTAGGTACAGTAGACGGTGTCTAGAGGAGCGGGGTAGAAATAGAATAAATAAATAATAAATAAATACTGTATCTAATGACTTTCCTCTGAGTTCCTGACAGGCATTTAATTGGCCAGTGTTGGAACTGATAACCAGGATGATAAGAGGGAAGACTGAACTGTGCCAAATTATATCCAACAGAACAGAACAGCACAGCACAATCCTCTGGTCAGTGTTTGAAATAGAATAATGAACTCTTGTTAAAATTCATCTCTTCCCAACCAAGTATCCTCCAGGTATGTTTTCCTGCTTGATCAAGATGGCTGGGAATGACATGAGCTGCAGGCCAACATAGCACTTTGACTGAAGTCCAGTCTAATCCATCAAAGCCATTCTTACTTTCTAAATTAGTTATAAACTCTGTTCCAACTTGTCTTTTATAGAGAATACTGTTTTCTGCTGTATGAAGGAAGAGCCTTGTTTAGAGCCTCAACTCAAAAGTTAGACGTTTTCTCCTTCAGCAAAAAACTTTCTCACTGTAGCTTTAATATATAAGCCTTCTTCAAATAGAAGCTGAAAATTAGTGTGCTTTCTTACTTGCTACTGTACATTCCAAATAATGATCGTCACCTTACTAATGAAAAGCCATTAAAAATAATGAATTCCATCTAGATCTAATTAAAGCTAATATAAACTTTTCAAGCATTTTTAATACGCCCCCGTCAAATATTTTTGTACAAAACCTATAGATTAAATCTATAAATTGTGAAAGCATTATTAACAACCAGACACTTGCATTTTCTTCATTTCCATTAACTTTCCAATTATTAGTTTGGTTGTTTTTCTATGAAATGGTTCCCTGTTTATAGAAGCTCTTCATTTCCCTTCTAACTGGATACATTTGGCTTTTCCCGGGTTTGCAAAACACATCATATATTTCTCAGCAGCAGGAATCCTGAAAGTGGTGCTTATTTTCTCCTCTTACTTTTGCTCTCACACAAACATCTTGCTGTGAACGCCATGGTATTCTGATGGCTATTTCTTACCCGGCTTTTTTTTGCTGATCTAAGTAAATAACAGGACAATTCAATTGTATTATCAGCTACTTATAACAGTAACATTGGCAAAAATGACCCTATCATTATATGCCAGCCACGGCAGTTACAGAACAATTACTACAAAACACCACAATGAGAAGCCAAACCAGGAAAAATCTGGCCTAAGGTAAATAGATCACTGAGATGTAATAGAGAATCCCAAGATGACAATTTGGATCAAAACTGTGGCATGTTTTACTTGGTGCATTCTATTTTTACTAGGTTTACATACGACTATATCCTGAACACCTCCCAGGGAAATGACAAGAAAAGGTTTCCGTTCCGATTACGAGATATCTTTATTGTAGTATTACTTAGATTCCATGTGGAAACACTAACCATGGGCTGCCATGAGGTGGCATGGTTGCAGATGTAGGTCACTTCTAATCCCACACCACCCTGCAGGCTCAACAACACAGGACACGGCAATTCCTGTAATTCTTCCTCCCGGTATTTTTTCCCTTTGAAGCTGGGATCTGGCAGTGCTACTGCTTTGAATGTGTGCCTCCACACTACCGGGCCTAAAGGCCCTGTGTGGGAGCCAAATGTTGGTACTCACATTTGCTACTTTGGCAGAAGAGCGAATAAAATGGCAGCTTTCCTTCCCATAACTTTGCTAATATGGTCTGCCCAACCATTTTGCTTGATAAAGCAGCAGACACTCCATCTGGGCCTCTGAGGTAATCTGCTTCCTATCTGCCAGATCTGTCACACCATAAAAATACTCAGCACAATCAAGCTCAGTTTTCAGAAAACCTGACTGAAACAACAACCTTGCTTTTGTCTATTTGCAAATTCAGCGGTTCTTATCTGCTTACAGAGTTCCATGGCTGATGATGATTCTTGCGAATACAGGAATGATTACGAAAATATCAAACAACCTGAGAGAGAGAATCTTAAAATTTTCATCTTTGACATCTACATTGAATAAGCATTTTGGAAAGTCCCTTATAGTGGCATTAGAATAACAATATTATTAGCTCACCTTGGTAGAAAATGTTAAAGCCTTTTAGAGTAACTACTGGGAATTCTACAGAAAGCATTTTTAACATTTATAACAGAATACTGAATATGGGCCTAAAGGTGAACCAGTCAAACAAATGTGCCTGATAATATAAAGTGACAAACACGTCCCTTGCAGAGACACATATGGATATACTATTCTTTCAAAAAATTGTATTTAAAAGAGTATTGTATCCTCTTTTAATTCTTAGTGTCACAATTCAAGAGCTAGTACAACATATAACGTTTTGGGTCCGTGCACATACATTGTCCCTGGACTCCTCTGATTGTATTTAAAAGAGTATCCTCTTTTAATTCTTAGTGTCACAATTCAAGAGCTAGTACAACATATAACGTTTTGGGTCCGTGCACATACATTGTCCCTGGACTCCTCTGACACTGTAGATAATACATACAGTAAATTCGTCAAAGACTAAATAGAGCAGGATAATGAAGCGCACAATGAAGCACACTTTATAATTCAACTAAATGAATAAACAAAGCATGCCCATGGTTATCAAAATGTAATACTGTAAGATGGCCATGGCAGTAATATATGGCTACTGAGTCTTTAAAAAATGGAAATTGTCAAAGATTTTGTATATCTTAGTTCAATCATCAACCCAGATGGAAACTGCACTAAAGAAGTCAGAAGACTGAGACTCAGTAGGGCAGTGATAAAGGCAAAGATAATCAAGAGTAAGGATGTGTCACTTAAGGAACAGGGCCAAGATAATTCATACTATCATATTCCTAGTTACTATATACATGATAGGAAGAAAATTGATTTGTTTAATTCAATATGGTGTTGGAGGAGAGCTTTGCAAATACCCTGAACTTCCAGAATGATGAACAAGTGTGTTCTCCATCAAATCAAGCCTGAACTTTCTTTGGAGGCAAAAAATGACAAAAGTGAGACTGTCCTAATTTGGATACATCATGAGAATGCAAGATTCACTTGAAAAAAAGAAATAATGCTGGGAAAAGTTGAGGGCAGCAGGAAAAAAGGAGGACCAATTTGAGATGGACTGATTCCCTAAACAAAACCACAGCCTTTCATTTACAAGAGCTGAGCAGGGCTGTTGGGAATAGGACATTCTAGATATCACTCATTCATTGGGTCACCATACGTTGGAGGTGATGGCATGTAATAACAACTAACTGAGTCTGAAATCTCTAACACAATTTAGCCCATTTCAAACTACTATTACTAGGTTTAGGCTTCTACATTTGAAATATAACCTAGCCTCAATATTATTTCTTATTTTAAGCTTTACTGAAAAGCACAAGCATCCCACTCTCCCACCCCTTTTTAATAACTGTAAAGGGAAATTACAAAACATGTCTAGCAGGCAGACTGTCATGCATTCAACAACTTCATTTGCCCAAGTCACCTGAATACTTGGAAAACTGAAATTTCCCATCAATACAGGAGAGTCCTTAAAGAAGGATGAGGGAGAAATCTCTTTCATCCATTCTCACTGGTACCCCCTCACTCAATGTTCAACCTGAAACATCTTTGGTATTCCCATTTCTTCCATTTCATGGTGAAGTTTGACGATGACGAAAATGCATATAGAAAAATATATATTAAAAGAAAGTATGCAGAAGACAAGATGCATATTAGTAACCTTCCCACTTCACCCTCAACCATCAAGCTATGTAGGAGGCCAGGCTATGAATGCAAACGGCCGCAAATCAATCAGTACTCTACACTGGAACTTATGTCTATAGCAGTGTTTCCCAAACTTTTTCAATTCGCAAAACTCCCTTGAGCAGCAGCAGTGGTGGCAGAGCAGGAGGAGGGGCACAGGGTGAACATAGAGGCAAAGGAGCACGAAGGGGCCAGA